CAATTAAAAACTAACCGCTCTAATTCATACTCATCAGCTGCCAAGCAACCACTAATCTATCGTGACCTCCACTTGCTCAAGAAATAGAAGGCAAGTGGGGTTCTGGCTGCCGAGGAGCCCCTCAGCCTTTGCACAGACAGACGCTTCTGACTCCTGGCCGTCTGAAAGCCCTTCCCTGCCCTCCCCTGAGGCTGCACTTTTTTCCCACCACCTTCGCTCCGTTAAGCCTAGTTCAGAGACAGGTGCTGATGAAGAAGAGCACAGCAGCCTGAGTTTATTCTATTTTTATTTATTTTCTTTTATCTTTTTGATAAAAAAGGCTGGAGCTCAGTGGCACACCTTCAGCTCACTGCAACCTTGAACTTCTGGACTCAAGCAATCCTCCAACCTCAGCCTCCGGAGTATCTGGGACTACGGGCAGGTACCACCACACCCAGCTAATTACTTCTTTGTTTTTCTAATTTGGAGACGAAGTCTTGCCGTGCTGTCCGAGCTTATCCCAGGCTCAGGCAATCCTCTCGCCTCCACCTCTCAAAGTCTCAGATTACAGGTGTGAGCCACCACGCCTGGCTCAGACTGGCTTTAAATCTTGGCTCTTCTACTTACTAGCTGTGTGGCTCTGGGCAAATTACTAAACCTTTCTGTGACTGTTTCCTCCTCTGTAAAGTATAAGAAAATAGTTCTGATGTCGTGAGCTGTGAGACCTGACTGCACCTGGAGAAAGCAAACAGCCCTGGTGCCCAGTAACCTGGAATTCTCTCACTGCCCTGTGGCTCCAGGCTGCTGGGGATGGGGTGCTGCTTGGTACCAGCACTCACATTAGCTTGATTGTGTCATCATTTGACAATGTATAGAGCAAGATATCATGTTACGCACCTTACAAACAAATAGAAGCATTTAATATGTCAAGAAAAAAATAATTAAAATTGCTTCAAATATCCAAAAGAAAAGAAAAGAATCAGCAGCATCTATAAACTTTTTCTTACAGGGCCGGGTAGTAAAGGTTTTAGGCTTTGCAGGCCGAGCTGTCTCTGTAACTACTCTGTTTAAAAGCCTGAAGCAGGCCAATCTCTGATACAGATCTTTGTATTTTTAACTTAAATGTCCTAATAAAACGTGGCTATTTTCTTTTCATAAAGCCTATGTATATATTATTAAGTTTAAGCTGAATTGTCACCAAAATTTTTTTTTCTTTTATGTTGTGTTATTTTAAAAATCTTTTTCTGTGCTTTTTTCCAGAAATATATAGAGGCAAGGTCAAGGAACTTGTGTTGCAGTCTCTTATTGAATTTGTTTCTATCTGATTCTTCTGAATTACTACCTGCATTCGAGAGCTCACAGTGAACTGAAAAATAAAGCATTCATTCACAGAAAACAAACAAACAAGAAACAGTACAAAGTGGTACCTCGTTTTTTAGATATCTCGGTATTTCGTTTACTGTATTATTAAACATCTGCCTATAAACCAAAAACACTGTTTTATTGATGTAAGTAGGGAAGCATAGATACAGAGAAACCCAAGAACGTGGGATCGTTCTGGAGGGTGGGAACTTGTGAGAACAGGTACTAACCAGGCCTGAGGGCTGCAGGCAGCCTGTGTTCTTAGGTTTTAATCTGGCCCATTGGTGGCACATTCCTGGTCACAGGTGTCCTCTACTCAAGCAACACAAGCAACATAACCAGACCCACAGAAAGAACCAGAGGGAACCAAGGTCCCCACAGAGCACGACAAGGTGCAGAAGAGGCCTAATGTCCCAGCGCTGTCGGGGATGCAGCCTCCCAGTCAGATAATCAAACAAGAAAGTAGGGCAGGTGGCCTGGCAGCCTGGACACGTGGATAGGAAAGGTCAAAGGGAAGGCAGCGGAGAGATGAGCTCGAGGAGGTGCATGGCACTTCATGTCAGCGCCTCCATGACCCGAGCTCTGTGTTGCCTCTGCCTCTGCCACCCGCTCACTCCCCAGACTCCAGCAGACTGGTCTCATTTCCCGGCCTTCACAGTGTTCCACCACGTCCTGTCTCGGGTACCTGCTGAGCCACAGGACAATCACCTCTCGCAGGAAATTCAACACAGGTACAAGGCTTTCTTCTATTACACAGGCCAGATTAAAATCTCACCAATTGTCCCAATAACATCCTTTATAAATCCGAGGAGAAATAAAAATAAAACCCTAAACCTCCAATGGACTGAACAGACCCTTTCAAGGTCAAGGGGACCCCAGAGACACCTTAAAAACTGAGTTTCTGGCCATGATGGGATGGGAGGTCTGGCATACCTCAGTGTGTCCCCTCTACATTAATGTTTAATTTGAATTATTTCCTAAGGAGTAAGCCGAAATCAGCACTGGAAAACAAGAAATGAACAACTCTTCTTTTTATGGCCATTGGTCAGTCATCTGAGGCCAAGACCAGACTCCCCCTTCCTTCTTCGCGTTTTGATGTGACAGCTCAGCAGCTTCACAAGGCGTCCCTTCCTGAAAAGTGGTCACCATCTCTGGACTGGTTTTGGCTGACATGGAGGATGCACAGTGAGGCTTTTCGTGACTGATTCGGCTTTTGCCATCACAGGGCTGAAAATCCACCTGTGGATCATGCTAATACCATCGTTTTTTGAATATGCAACCCATGAAGAGGCGTGAAGCTCAGTTATGCATGTTTACACTTTTCATTCATGAATATTCATGACTCCTCCTAGAGTTTATTAAATATGTATGCTTAGCCAACCCATTCAGCATGGATTCCTGTCTTATGCTTCACCCCTGGAAGCAACTCTTTCCAGCTTCTGTCAGAGGCTACAACTCCCAGCCTGTCAGAATGGCCACCCTGCAGGCCTTCCCCTCAAAGCCTGATTTTCTAGCTGGGCCTTCAGAGAAACAAAGCTCTCCTTTTCAAATTCATAAGCCAGACTGAATATCTAGTTGACCCCGAGAACATACAGGACCACCTACTACACTCGGCTGTCATGCTTCTCAAGTCTCCTCTGTTGGGGAACAATTTTCTAGTATTTTCCCCTGTTTCTCATGATATTGATATTTTAAGTGGTTTTATAGAATGCCCTAAATTATGGGTTTGTCTAATTTTTCCTCTGATTACATTCAAAGTATGCATTCCAGCCAATAATCCCATATACAGGTGCTGGCATCCGCTCTGCACACATGGTGTCAGGAAGTACGTGATGCCAGCTTGTCTCAGTGTTGGTGGTAAGCACACGGTGAGAACGGTGCTCATCAAATGCCCTGATTAATCCCTGCAGTGGTTCACACCAAACACCCTCCCCCAGTGGTTGTAGGATTCACTGATGATCTTTTCCTGAAATAGTTGTGACCGGGCTGGTGCTGAGAAGATAGATACAACTAGAAGATGGCATGGTTTTTTAAGTAGGCCATGTCTTTCACATTTATGAGTGGAGGTTTTCCCGTAAAGAGGAGCCTCCCTTCTGTGAAGCCTCCGTCCCCAGCCTCAGCTGCACTCGAGGTTTCTCACCTCACTCTCTGTGTCCTAACCCGTCCTTGCCACGGCCAACATTGATGAGGCACAGATGGTCCAAACTCGCCCCCTTCCAGCTGTCTTCTGGGCTCTTACCTCTGCTTTTTGTTGGGACTATACCACTTTTAAGTGACTTTAATGGATATTTTATGTATCATCTCCATCTCAGAATAACAAACAATGAAATAGAATTTGTTTTCCTTCAAAAACTCCTAAAATAAAATGAATAGATTGTGGCTAAAGGCATCTCCAGTTGTGTCTCCCATTCCTAGTTTCAATAGCCATCCGCAGATACTGGGCTCTGTTCTGACTGAGGTAAACCGAAAATAAAATTCTAAGACCTCTCAGGTGACTGAATGGACCCCCTCTCACACAAGGACATTCCAAAGTGAAACTGAAAGACTAGTTTAGGCCATGATGGGAAGAGCAGGTCAGACATGCCTCATTATACCCTCCCCGCTTTGGAATTCAGAAACAACTGACCAGCTTTTACATGAAAACAGAGGTCTTAGGACTGAGGAAACATACTCTTTGTAGCAATAAGATACCAAGTTCCAACTTGACTCTATAGCAGGTCTTGAAAGAAACATTCTACCCCAAATACATTCCTTTGATGAAATTTGAAATGGCCCTGCAAACAGTTCTTGTGGGGGTAAATTTGCATTCTGTAGAGAATCCCCTTCCCGTCCCAGGTCTTTCCCTGATCCAGAAGAGAATTAACTAAAAGTCTGGCACTTTTTAAGGTCTGATAAGAGACACCTACCATCTATTCTCTCTGGTAACAGAGCCTGCTGTCTGGAGGCTTCATCTGCGTGATTAACTTTGGTCTCCACAACCCCCATCTTAACCCAGACATTCCTTTCTGTTGACTCCAGGTCTTTTTTTTTTTTTGAGATGGAGTTTCGCTCTTGTTACCCAGGCTGGAGTTCAATGGTGCAATCTCGGCTCACCGCAACCTCCGCCTCCTGGGTTCAGGCAATTCTCCTACCTCAGCCTCCTGAGTAGCTGGGATTACAGGCACGCACCACCATGCCTGGCTAATTTTTTGTATTTTTAGTAGAGACGGGGTTTCACCATGTTGACCAGGATGGTCTCGATCTCTTGACCTCCTGATCCACCTGCCTCGGCCTCCCAAAGTGCTGGGATTACAGGCTTGAGCCACCGCGCCCGGCCTTGATTCCAGCTCTTAAGGTAACAGCTTAACTCTTTCAACCAGTTGACCAGAAAATCTTTCATCCACCTATGACCTGGAAGCCCCCACTTCGAGTTGTCCTGCCTTTTGAACCAAACCAATATCCACCTATGTGTCTTGACTGATGTATGCCCGTAACTGCTATCCCCCTAAAATGGACAATATTAAGCTATAAACCACCTTGGTACATGGGGCTGTATTACAGGCCTGGGTCACTCACATTTGGCTCAGAATAAACCCCTTTAAATATTTCACAGAATTTGACTCTGTTTGTTGACACTGAGGGTGGGGAGTGCTAGGGCGAGGAGCAAGCACCCCACCCACCTGCTCCTGGCTCTTCAGAACCGTCAGCACCCTGAAGCTGAACTTGTCGCTGCTGGCCTTGTTGTAGTCCTTCATGGCGAACCAGAGTGCCTGCTGCACATAGACGTAGTTTTGAGGGATATCTTGGAATGTCCTCACCACCTTCGCTGAACCCCAGGAGTGGACTCCTCTGGATGCAAGGGCCACGGTGGCTACCAGCAGCAGCAGGGCCTGGCAGAGCCTGACCATGGCGCCTCAGCCAAGGGTCACAGGCCAAGCACCATCTATCCTTTCAGATGCAGAGATACCAACACCCCAACTCCTCTTGGCACTGCTGATTAAAAGGAAGGAACTTCGGTTAACACAGTGGTGATATTGTAATAGGATTAGAAATACACATGTGGTCTTCACCCCAGGTTTCTAGCAGGAAGCACCTAAAACCCTTGCAATCCTGAGTGGTTGAGATGTGATGGGAGCATCTCAGGGGTTGAAAGGTGGTGTCTAATATGCCCTTTTCAACCCCACCTGAGTGTATGCTAATGAGGTGACTCCTCGTGGATCCTCTCAGCCCCACCCTCCACATCCAGGGGGGAACAGGGGCCAAAAATTGAGTTAATCACCAGCAACTGGTGAATTAATCGACCATGCCTATGAAATGGAGCTTCCATGAAAGCCTCAGACGGACAGGGCTGAGAGAGTCCTTGGGCACTTCGTGTGTCTTATGTAATCCTTGCCATCCCTGCGGGGTCTGTTTAGTGAGTAACCCGTTTACGCAGGAGGAAAACAACACTCATCAAGAGGTTGAGAGAGCCCCTAAGCCTGCTTGATGGAAGCATCCACGCTTTCACTCAGGGCCTGCCCTTCCCCCACCTTGTCACCTGCCTCAGCCTAAGAGATGCACACGTGTAGGTAACAGCTCGGAATGTACATTTGCTTTTGAGGATATCCAGTTCTACTACAGAATATAAATGAGCCTGTAGTTAAGACAGGCAAACCAGCTGCAGTGCGTTAAGTATAGAGAGTGAGCAAACACAGACGGAGGCAGAGTCGTGAGTTGTGTTAATGAAAGGTGTGTGTCTAAGGTGAACACAGAATGTGATGGCAGAACTGAGAGGCGCCTGATATCCATCAGCGCTAAGTATGAGTGAGGTACACACAGCCGGAGGATTCCTGAGATCTTAGTCTGGCCACCCTCTGTTGGCATCATTCTGGCACCCTACACGCTCTCTCCTAGAAACACAAATCATTGCCTCAGCTGTGCAGGAGGCTCACCAGCTGGGCAGGGCAGCCCTGCTTGCATCTGTTTATAAACCAGTGTGTGTGCCTGACAAGCACCTTCCATCTCCAGGACTCTTGGCCAAACGTCCACCACGGTCCCCCAAGCCTGCTATTAGCAGGGTGCTGATGTGGCTGAGAGGGACAGGAGCTGTGAACATGGAGGACCCAGGGCCAGGCAGGGGTCTCCTCACCGTCACCCCACTTCCCTGTGTTTTAAGCGCGTTGACCTGTCCACCCTCTTCGCGCTTCTTATCTTACACTGATCTGACGCTGGTGGGCTTCCAGAAGGTCACTCTGACAAGTACACCTTTCTGCTCCACGGCCTCTGGATCACCGTCCAGGGCGGGCTTGGAGGCCACTCTGCCACACACACCACAGCCGCACCACGGGCCCACGTCACCACAGCCGCACCACGGGCCCACGTCACCACAGCCACACCACAGGCCCACACACACCACAGCCGCACCACGGGCCCATGTCACCACAGCCACACCACGGGCCCACACACACCACAGCCACACCACGGGCCCACACACATCACAGCCGCACCGTGGGCCCACCTCAGATCCACGTTCTTCACCACGTTCCTGGCTGCTGGTCCTCGAACCACCGTCCCAACTGTCCCCTTCTTCCTGAGGACTTGAGCTAACTGCTGGGCAGCCCTTGGCTGTTCTCTGCCCTCAGCACGCTCAGTTCATGCCCCTGTGCCTGGTCAGAGTGTCTGCTGGGGTCTGCACTCCAGGGGCTTCTGCTGTCTGGCTCCACTCCCCAGCTCGGTGGCCACACCTGAAGCCCCTTTGTGAGGTCAGCCCGGCCCCTCTAATGTTGCTCAAGGGAAGGGTGCCTCTGACCACTGGCAACCAAGTCCCTCACCCTTGTCCCACACCTGCTGACTTTCTAAACTTCTGTGCTCTGGACTGTGCTGGGTACACCTGACATCACCTCGATGACCATGTCTTTCAGAGCCCCATTAGCGGTGCCATGGTCCGAGAAGCAGAAGGAGCCACCACAGAGCCAGGCTCAAGGACTCTGGGACTAACAGGTCTTCGGGAAGATGCCTGGCCAGGAGCTAGGGGGCCACCAGCTGACAAGAGCTGCCACCAGACAGGTAGAAGGTGTCAGATGTCAATGGCCATGCTGGCCTAAGCTACCTCTGTGAACAGTGTAGCCCAGAAGAGCCAGCACAGATGCCTCCCACCTGTCAGCCCTGTCGTCCCCCATCTTGTCACACGTCCCAGGTAAGCATTCCTGATTCTGCTTACTTGGGACACAGGGACAGTTACAGGGACAGTTCTCTCCCCTGTTTGTGATGTCAGGACCTGCCACCTATCCGCCAAGCCAGGTTCCATAAAGGAGCAGATTCCATCCTACTCTGCACTTAGGGCCTGCCTGGGAGACAGTATGGGAGTTCCCAAGAACTCAAAAAGTCTGGAAATTAATATTTCTCTTTGCAAGATAAAATACAGATACACGCAAAGCACATCAGACCTGAGATCCAATTCCAAACAGAAAGTCAGGCCTGAGAATCTCTGGGTTAAATGTGCAAGTGTTTGAAACAGAATCGCATGCTCAACTGGGAGCCCTTTCTAAGCAGGTACAACCCACAGAGGTCAACAGAAAAGAATAAATCTGGCTACACATGTTGTATAGTGTGCACACATGCACAAACACACATACCCGACACACACACCACACAGACTGAAAAGGAAAGGGTGTGCACACGTGCACAAACACACATACCCGACACACACACCACACAGACCAAAACCGAAAGGGAACAGAGAATGAGTCATTTAGAGCCTATTTGGTAAAGGGCTAAATTCTCTTTTATGGAAACAGCGCTTTAAAAGACAGAAGAAAAAGACAATTTCCTCAATTGTTTTGGCTCAAAGAGAACCAAGAATTCAAGCAGACGGCGGACCCACAGGGAATTTCCCCTCTCTGCCACAGATCAATGGCCTGAAAACAGTAGGCCAGTGGTAACACCTCACTCCAACTGCCACATGGATCCACCTACTACCTGATGTCTTGTGTCCAAAGCAGAACACAAGTGTCCATGGGAGGTTACACACAGAGAGCCGAGACACGCCTGTGTCCTCCACCCTGTGTTCCACAGGGGAAGGGGCCTGTTTAAAGGAAAAGGAGGGAGGCGATGTTTGTTGAGTGCTGTGGTTGGTGTAGACCCACAAGCCTGCAGGGGAACCAGAACTCTCCTGGGCTCCTTCAGGGCTGGGGGTGGGGCCCCTTAGAGGTCCCAGGGCCTTTGCGTGGGCCCCAAAGCGTAGGTACGGGAGGCAGCCAGCCCCTTCTTGCCTCTTGGCTTGGCTCCTCCTTCCTGTCAAGGTGCACATCACCATGGCTCCTCCTTCCTGTCAAGGTCCACATCACCGAAGACGCTCTAAGGTGGGAACATCAGGACCACAGGTGCTGGCTGCTCCAGGAACTATTGCCTCATAGGAAGCATTATCCTTTGCTCATGAATCAGGATAACCAGGATTTTAGTAAGGGCCCAGATAGGAAAGTTCTAGGAGGTGTAGGGCAGGAGCAGCTGGGACCACCATCATCCACAGCACGAATGTCCTCCCTGATGATGAGGAAGGGGTTTTATAAAGGGTTTATCCAGAGGTGATTCACACACCGCAGGATTCACCTGTTTAAGCATAGAAATCAACGACTTTAGTATATTCACAGAGTTTCAGAGCCAAACCACAATCAATTTTACAACATTTTTGTTACCCTAAAAAGAACCTCAAATGTTTTAGCCTTTCTGTGTCAATTTCCCCATCCCCTTTCAGCCCTAGGCAGCCACCAACGTGCTTTCTCCACGGATGTCCATCTTCCGCGCATTGCATGTAAGTGGAATCGTGGTCTTATCCTGTGTCTGGCTCCTGTCACTGAGCACGTTTCCAAGCTTCCTCCAGGCTGTAGTCTGTATCGCTACTTATTATTTTATTACAAATAATAACCTGCTGTCTGGATAAAATAAAAATATCTTATTGATCCACTCAGTTAATGAGAAGTAGGGTTATTTTGGCTATTGTTTTGGCTTTTTGGCTGTTTTTAGTAAATAGGGTTATGATCATTCGTGTTCAGACTTTCATGTGGACATACGTTTTTCTGTCTCTTGGGTATACACCTAAAAGTAGAATTATTGGGTCATATAATAATGGTATGTTCAACTTTTTGAGAAACTGCCAGATGGTTTTCCAAAGTAGTTGCACCATTCTGCATTCCCATCGGCAGTGTAGGAGGGCTCCAATTTCTCTATATCCTTGCCAACACTTGATACCTGTCTTTTATGTTACGGCCTTGCTGGTGGGTATGAGGTGAGACAAGTGGTAACAATTTGACAAATGTGACACAGGAAATTTTAATTTTCAAAGTATCAAAGAGGTCTTATGAGAAAATTGTTTAAAAAGACAAAAAGTCCAATAGAAAATCTGGGGGAAAGTCATGAACACAAATCACAAGAAAATAAATGTAAATGTCTCTGCTACCCATGTGAGAATATGGTTAAGCTCTTCTACAATAAAAATGTAACCCAACAAGGAAATGTCACTGTTCTCTTACACATTGGAAAGAAGTTGAACACAATAAGAATGCTGGGTAGGTATGTGGCCTTCCTGCCATGTTGGCAGAGTGGGCATCAATAGTCCTTGTTAGTAGCACTTTAGCAATCTGTCAAACATTTAAAGTTACTTATTCGTCAACACAATGTTCCGGACCTAGGATTTTTATCCCACAGAAATATATGCCTACGTGCACGAAGTTGGCTGAAAAATTACTCATCGCAACATAGTTTCTAAGAGTAAAAAAAAAGAGAGAATGAGAGAAACAGCCCAAATATGTATCAATAATAGACTTATTTATTTATTTATTTTTGTAGCAATGGGGTCTCGCTATGTTGCCCGGGCTGGTCTCAAACACCTGCACTCCTGCTATATCCTCCAGCCTCAGCCTCCCAATGTGCTGGGATTACAGACGTGAGCCACCACTCTCAGCCCAATGGTAAATTTTAAATAAAATGTTTAATATTTGTGAAGTGAAATTTAAAACAACCACCGGAACGTGTGCATGCACTGAAAGGAGAGAGATCAGACATATATGAAATGTTATAAGCGAACCGTGAAACACTAACCCGGGAAGTATCTGGGTTTGTTAAGAATGCAGTGATTTCTTGAGGTCAATGAAAGGACATCTGGGTATTTCCAACCATTTTGCAGCTTGTGCCTGAGATGATGATATTATGCAGGAATTTCACTTTCTAAGCGAATCGTTCCTATAATGCTCACTCTGTTTGAAAATAAAATTATTTTTAAAAAGGTCAAATTTCCGTAGTAAAAGTCAGATGCACAGAGGCCTACAGATGATGGAAACCAGGTGCCCACCCAACTCCTGACCTCCCAATTCCACTTCCCAGGGCTCCTAAAGGATGTTGAGTCCTGGATATAGGAGATGAGAGGTTAGTTCACACGCTTTCCTCTGCCTCTCGCTGTTCTGATTCATTGATCAATAGACGGATAGACATTCTGCTAGTTCCTTTTATAAGCCTGAAAGCTATAACCACACTCTCCCAGCTGATCATGTCCCAGGAGTCCCTGGCACTTCTCTCCATAGGATGAGGATGTCAGCACAGCCCTGCCGTCACCCCCACCTCCTCTATGCCTCAAGACTCTGCTCTGCCCAACATTAGCCCTGAAATATTGAAAACCAAGAAAACAGATGCTTAAAGCCACAGGCATGGTGTGGTAAGATTTCTATTCTTTTTCAGTATAATTCTCAGTATGATGAAAGATGATGGAATCTTGGCCAAGGTGGCAGAGCTGGGTTTAAGGCCATGGGAATATTACAGCTGAAAGCAAAGGTGAATTCAGCGGATGCATGAACAGGCAAAAGGGAAAATGAGCCATGCCTGGAGCTACAGAGCTGATTGAGTAACACAGCCTGGAGAAGGATGAGTCAAAGGCAAGACACCCAGACAGTAAGTGGCTTCAGCAGCAAGTAGTGGTGGGATGTGCCAGAATGGGGAATGGAGGAGAAGCAGATTTGGGCAGGAAATGCGAAGGGTTGCATTTTGGCCAAACGGAGTGTCAAGTACCGGCAAGTTGCGCCTTTATCAGGTGGCTCACACCCAGCCAGTCTGCGGCCACCACCCCAGGTCACATTCCACTGGCATCTAGGAATACCAGAAATGGTCTTATTTGCCTATTAATCTGCTGTTGCCACCCTCCATACAGAGAATACCTCTTTAACCTGTAATGCTGAATAACGTTCCATAACTGATCTTGCCGAGTCCCTATTCTGAGCACATGTGTTATTTTCATCATTTGCTATTATTATCAACAGCATAATTGTTATGCTGTACAGCTCCTTGTACGTACCCAATGTCTGGCTTGGGAGAAATTCTGGAAAATCAAATAGTCAACAAGCATGCAAATACATCAAGCTCCCCCCGTCCTGTAAAAGAATTGTTCATTTGTGTGTGTGCATGTGTGTGTGTGTGTGAGAGAGAGAGAGAGAGAGAGGAGAAAGAGGGAGAGGGAGAGAATACATGAGCAGTACCTGTAATTCATTAGACTCCTAAAATGGGGAACCAAAAAAAAATCAGTACATAGAGATAATGATTGATATATACTTAAGAAAGTATGTATAAGCGTGTACATGCTTTGCTTAACAACAGGGATATATCTGAGAATTGTGTGACCGGGTGATTTTGTGGTTGTGCAAACATGATAGAGTGACTTACACAAACCGAGATGACCGAGCCTACTCCACACACAGGCTGTACGGTGTGGCCTATCACAGTGGTAACACAACGGTAAGTATTTCTACCTCTGAACATTTCCAGACATAGAAAAGCTACAATAGAGGCCAGGCGCGGTGGCTCACGCCTGTAATCCCAGCACTTTGGAGGCTGAGGCGGGTGGATCACAAGGTCAAGAGATCGAGACCATCCTGGTCAACATGGTGAAACCCCGTCTCTACTCAAAATACAAAAAATTAGCTGGGCATGGTGGTGCACGCCTGTAGTCCCAGCTACTCGGGAGGCTGAGGCAGGGGAATTGCCTGATCCGAGGAGGGGGAGGTTGCGGTGAGCCGAGATCGCGCCATTGCTCTCCAGCCTGGGTAACAAGAGCGAAACTCCGTCTCAAAAAAAAAGGTACAGTAGAAACATGGCACTGTAACTTGGCCCACCTTCGTGTATGCGGGCTGTTGCTGATGGAAACGTCTCTGTGCAGCACAGGACTGCAGCTTGTTCCCACAAGAAGCCCAGTAGAGAGTGAGAGGGGTGCAGAAAAGGCAAAAAGGAAAGAGAAAGAGAAACGAGAGGGAAAATATAAGCCAAGGGGGAAAGTAGAAACCAAAGGTTGCCTTTAGGCTAAGCAAGGGGTCGGGTAAAGCCAGCAAGCTGGCCTGGGGGGACAGAGGAGGAAGGAAGGAAGGCCCCCTATACCGGAGGTGCCCCGCCACCCTCCCACACCCTGGGCCTCTGAGGCTCTGGGTGTTCCTTCTCCCCGGGCTGTGCTCCTCCTCCGCTTTCCTCCTCCTCCCCTGTCCAGGTGGAGTTTTTCAATGCACAGTCAATTCCCAATTATGGGCTGGAGCCTCCTGGGAAATCCACTCTTGTTCCTCAAACCCTCCGGGGCCAGATCTGGGCTCCACAGGTATCCCTGTGATGAGGGTGCCTCCTGTGTGCCCCGCCTCTTCCAGCCCTTCCTGATGGGCGTCTGGGAGCCCTGGCTTACCGTGAGAGGTGCATGCAGAAACTCCTGCTGTCACTGGGGCTGCCTCCTGTCACCTGGTGAGGATTCTGTCCACTTTTGCTCTGTTTTGAGGCATCTGTATGATTTGGGGTGCATTTAGGTTCAGAATTATTACATCTTCCACATGAATCACACTTCAGGACATTAAATGGTGGCTTCTTTAGTACATCAGGAAATATTTTCTGACGCCTACCGTGGGGCCAGCCTGTTCTAAACGTCGGGGTCAGTGCCAGGTTCCACCTGGTGTGAAAGGTGCGGGCGCCTCCTGCTCTGGTCGCACCTGGGGAGTCCGCTGACCAGGCAGTCTGCTGGCTTGAGTTGAGTCCTCCAGGTGAGCAGCTGTGCGCAAACAGACGTTTTACCTCCTCTTTTGTAAGGTTTATATCACATCTTTCATTTTTTGGCCTTACTGCATTTTCTAAAACGGTTCAGAAACAGCATTTTATTTTAGTTCCTGAGACATGTTTTCATCAATTTATTTACATACAATCTTTCATGGTCATTTCTCTTTAGAGGTATCTTTTATAAACATTGTATTACTGGACCTTGGTTTCTTAACAAATATGAAATTACCGGTCTTTCTGTAGGGAAATTTAATCCACTCGCATTTCTGTGGTCACTAATATTTTATTTTAATCCATTCACAACTCATTTATTTTCTTTTCTTGTAATTATGATTTATATCATTTTTTTTTCCTTTACTAGTGCTTGGAGAATCAATTTTCTCTTCCTCTTCTAGTAATTGGAAGTTCTCCATTTTGCTTCTTTCTATTAGTTAAACTCTTATGTATTTAGAAATGTTACTTCTAAGGATCTTAAAATGGGGAGATTATCTGGAACTATCTAGGTGGGTCCAGTACAAACACCAGAGTTCTTGTAGGGGAAAGAGGGAGGTCACAGGTCCTAGAGAATGGGACAGAAGGAAGAGAAGACAGGGAGGCTGAGACATTGGGATGCTGCATTGCTGGCTCTGAGGATGGAAGAAGGCAGTCCTGCCCTGGGCCGTGGGCTGGAGACAGCAGGCTTCTGCTGGAACCAGGAACAGCAGGACTGTGAACAGAATACAGCCACCATCCTCAGCAGCGTTGCCAGCACACATCCACTCTGACCTACTAGGCAAAGCTTAGGAGAAGGAACAAAACACATAGTGGGTGGTGGGTGTGGGGGAAGCTTCGCAACCTGCATCACAGGATGAACATAGGAAGTGAGTCCTGCTGAAACCGGTGCATGTCGGAAGCGTGGTGGGCTCCTGGTGTGAGCAAGGGCCTCGGCTCCCTCCCTCCCTCCCTCCCCAGGTTGCATACATCAGCGGAGCCTCCACTTCTGCACGTGAGTGGTTGGCTTCTCTCTCACTTTGATACATGCTGTGGAAAAACAGTTCAAGGCAAGACCACCAGCTTCTCGCGGGGTTGCTGTGGGAGAGCACCTTCTCTGTAGAACTTCTGGGGCCACCTCGGGCTGGTGGGCCAGGATGGACTGATTGATTTCTCTGTCTGTCTCCAGACCTCTGTCCCTTCCCTCTGACCTCCCCCAGATTTCTCCAGAAACCACCTAAAGCGCTTCTCCATCTATGGGATTCAGGGTCTCCTGAACGGCAGGTCTCCCAAGAGGCTGCCGAGTCCACACCTTGAGAGTTCCCTTTCAGAGCAAACGAGCCTGGGAGAGAAAACAGTTCACCACCCCTTCTTTCACAGACCCATCATTTACTGGCCACTTCCCAAGGCAGACGTGAAGCTGCAAGCACAGCCCCAGCTGGGGACAGTGCCCGGCACAGCCAGGCTCCCTGTGAGCATGGGCACTGGCCTGCAGTCAGCACCTCTGGGCTGCAGCTCGCGTTTGGGAGAGTTGTCTAACCTTCCTGGCACTCAGCCGTCTCTCTGGGACAGATGGGATGGTCTGATTCAGTGATCCTCCTTCTGGAAGGGTCCTCACATCTTGCTTCGGGGATTGCTGAACTAGGGAAGACCCTGTGGGGATTTCTCTCTTCATCACATCTCCCTTCGTCAGAGGCAAATGTGGGGGACTTTGAGCAGTTCTCGGCCTGCAGCCTGGCCCTGGGTCTTGTCTTAGAGTTGAAGTTCGCTGTAACATTTAGCAAGTTAAATCTGACCTTGCCACAGAGCAGGCATGCCGACCGCCTGCACAGCGCACCCGCGGGGACGAGCCCGCTGTGTGAAAGCCCCAGAGGCGCGTCACTGCAGTGTCTCTGGTGTCGAGATCGCTGGGACAGGGGGTGGGGGCCCTGGGGAGGAAAAGGAACCGCATCTTCACCCTCCCACGGCTGTCTCCCTCAGAGAGGCCCCCGGACTCACACCCCTCCTCACATCCAGGAAAGCACAGGAGCCGCAGATGCCCCCTGTGTTTAGGTAAAACCAGAGGCTCCTGAACTCCCTCCCTCCCTCCCGCTACCCCAAAGTGAGAACTTTCTGTTCTTTGACAAGGGAGTTGGAGTCTCTCTTTGTCCCTGGCCTGCTTTGAAGTTGCAACAATCAAACTGCGTCAGCTCAGGAACAAAAGGAACCTGAGAAGTGACATTTCTCCTCTGGTAAAAGGAAGTCTGCCGCCGGCCGGTGGGAGGAGGCAGCAGAGGCGAGGATGGGCACCGTGCCACTCTTCCATCAGTGCCAGGCCCCTGGCTTGACCCCATCAGTGATTCACAAAAGTGTCCAAATACATCCATGACCCAGATGGAGAAAGACCACTGCCCTCCCATTCAAGGGCACTGAAGCGGCTCCACCTGCCCACGCTGCTCATTGCCCAGATGGGAGCAGCCCTGTCTGAAGTGGGAGGCAGAATTTCCTTCCAAGCTGCTGGTGAGCCGCGGAGGGCTGAGCTGCAGAGCGAAGGCCTTAGAGCCAGAACATGGCAGAGCTGGAACAGGAGTTGCCTTCTGAGCTGGCCTCTGGCTGCACCCCTGCTCTTTTCCAGGCCAGCCACCTGGAATTCAGATGCAGGGTCCCTGAGATTACTGCAGAGCCAGCCTCTGCTCTGACCTCACTTCCCACTGGCCAGTCTAGCTCCCATGGCCCAGTCAAGATGTTGAAATTCATTTTCCTTGTGCTAAAACACGGCTAAGAAAGGAAGTGATTAGCTAGGACTGACCACCAGGGAGCCAAGCACTGCCAGCCAGAAGAGATGGGGAGAATACTGACAGGAGAGGTCTCCCTGCACTCCCCAGCCTCTCCGCCTCCCCCTACCCAAGCCTGGCCCCACAGCTACAGGCAGTTACCCAGACCACAAGGCTCCTTTGATGATGCCCCATTTCCCTGGTCATTCCCTGTCCTCTGTTCCACGCAGCTTCCTTAGACGCTGGTCCTCCCACAGCTCAGGCTGAGCCTGCCAGGCTGCAACCAAGGAGGAGGGAGGTGCCAGTCACTGGGGAGCAGCCCTGGCTCAGGTGGGACAATGGTGTGTGTGTGTGTGTGTGTGTGTGAGAGAGAGAGAGAGAGAGAGAGAAAGAGAGAGAGAGAGAGAGAGGCAGAGACACACAGAGAGAGAGGAGTTTCTGAAAATGGGGTACTGACCCCAGCACAGGGATGCTTCCTGCATGACTGGAGTCATGGTGTAGGAGCAGAGGAGGGCAGAAGGCTTCATGTGGAGAGCATCTAGCAGCTCTAGGCAGGGTGGGAGCACAAAGGCACTGTCAGCCATCACCACCACCAGGAAGGCTGCCAGGTCTGCAGAGAGGACTGTCTAGACACTGAATTTGACTCTGTTCTTCTGGAGGCCCCACACCAGTCCCCTCATGGGGAAGGACAGATGCTTAGGTGGGCCTGAAGATGGGCTCCCATCCACCCTGTGGGGGGTGGATGGCGCTGAGTGGACCCAGCCCCAGCGCGCCCAGCCCTGTGGCAGGTGGATGGCGCTGAGTGGACCCAGCCCCAGCGCGCCCAGCCCTGTGGCAGGTGGATGGCGCTGAGTGGACCCAGCCCCAGCGCGCCCAGCCCTGTGGCAGGTGGATGGCGCTGAGTGGACCCAGCCCCAGTGCGCCCAGCCCTGTGGCAGGTGGATGACGCTGAGTGGACCCAGCCCCAGCGCGCCCAGCCCTGTGGCAGGTGGATGGTGCTGAGTGGACCCAGCCCCAGTGTGCCCAGCCGAGGCTTGTAAACTCAGCAGTTTATCTTTGTTACTTCTCTTTGATCTATTAAAAAAAAAAAAACCAGCTAATTTTGGGAGTAAGAAAAATGCACCAAGTAATGGCATAGTGTGGATTATGCTTCAAGTCTAGTTTATGGCCCTTTGGTGATGAGGAAAAAAGGGAATTATCTGGCTGTGGTTTATACAGTGGGCACTGACTGAGCTGGAGGATGCTGGAGGGGGACAAGGTCATTATTTTTGACGCTTCCACCCTTAGCTGCCCATCTCATCCCGGGTCCTGCCAGGAAATTGGAGACAAATTCCACAGGGTATCTGAGGAGAGGTAACAGAGGGATATTTGCCAAGGAAAACCAACAAGGGAGGGTAAAGGACCCACAGTTAGTGAAAGGGGCACGTGCACCATCTCTAGACCCCACGGGTGAAGGACGCAGTGGTGGCCAAGCCCAGTGTGTTAGTTTCCCACGGCTGCTGAACAAATACCACCACCTTGGCAGCTGACAGCATGAGATTAGGGTCCTACAGCTCTGAAGGTCACAGTCGGAGGGTGAGGTGGGTGGGCTCACTGGGCTCCCAGCAGTGGGTGGGTGGGCTCACTGGGATCCCAGCAGTGGGTGGGTGGGCTCACTGGGCTCCCAGCAGTGGGGGGGGTGGGCTCACTGGGCTCCCAGCAGTGGGTGGATGGTCACAGTCAGAGGGTGAGGGGGGTGGGCTCACTGGGCTCCCAGCAGTGGGTGAGGTGGGCTCACTGGTCTGCCAGCAGTGGGTGGGTGGGCGGGCTCACTGGGCTCCCAGCAGTGGGGGGGTGGGGCTGCATTCCTTCCAGACTCTAGGAAAGAACCCATTCCTCTCCTCGTGGGCTCCTAGAGGCTCCCCACAGTCCTCGCCTCACCACCTTCTTCCATCTTTCAAGCCTGCAGTGAGTGAGTTGAGTTCTGCTCATATTCAGTCACTTCATCTCCGACTCCCCTGCCGTTCTCCCCTCATTTAAACAACTTGGGCCCATCTGCATAATCCAGATGATTTTCCCATTTTCAGGTCAGCCCATTAGCACCCTTCCCTCCCTCTGCAGCCTGAACTTCCCCTTGCCAGGTTGCGTCACACACCCACAGATGTCAGGGCCCAGGATGTGCACGTCTCTGGAAGCATTTCTCTGCCTGCCACACCGCTGGGGCTTGCCGTAGGGGTGAGAGGGGCTGCCCAGCAGGAGCGCTGGCCCCTGGCGGAGGAATGCAGCTGCTGTTAACTGGTTCCAGCAGCCAGGAAGAAATACCCAACACTGGCTCCAGCTGCCCTCCTGTTTCCTGCCGCTCCCCTTCCCCAGAATTAGACAAATGCAGCCCACAGTCCTCGCCTCCACCTTCAGTGGAAGGGCTAGGGAGTCTTTAAAGGAGCCCAACCATGGCAGACTCCCAGGACCCGGAGCTGAGTCAGTGAGAGCCATGCAGCCCAGCACCAGCGTGGAAATGAATATCCAGTTAGTTATAGATAAGTATTTGATATCTATATTCTCTAAATATGTATACACACACATATGCACAGGCAGTACCTGATTCTGCAGTTCAGAAGGATGGAGCACGAATATAAAATATTAAAAAAGAAATTTTTATTCACCTAAAGATTCCAAAGCAGAGAGACCAATCAGGAGTCTATTACAGGTGGGAGTGAAATGTGTTCAAAGGAAAGAATAAACTCCGTAAACAAGGTGAGGAAAACTACTGGGACCCGTGTGAACAAGGCGTGTCCGTGCACTTACGCAAGCTCCAAGAGCCGCCAAACTAATGTTTACGGTGCTCAAGGTTTAGACCACAGATGAAAGCTCCAAGTGCCAGGGCATCCGAAACCCGTGTCGGGTCACACCAAGGCTGGCAGGAGGAGAACTTCTCATTGCCAAGGAGACAGCACCCCTAAATCTTCAATGAAACAGGTTCTTCTCGGAGCTGATGTGGCTAAGAACTCTCAGGACCCTGTGTTGATTGCACTAAAAGGGAAAGGAAGGAAAAGCCAGAGGTGAGACTCAGGAGTTATGAAGGGACCACTTCCCTGACTATGTGGCACGTAGTCAGAACTTTAGCACGAAGGGTTTGTAAATTATCTTTTGTATTTTAACTTTTTGCTATGCTACTTCATTACTCTATCCGCATCATTTATAGCCTTAATTTTGTTGTACTTCGGAAAGATTTCTCAGTCTTCAGCTTTACTTGTGATTTTGTCATTTTTATAACATGATTGGCTTATGTGTTATTTAGGGCCATTTTATTTGTATTTTCTTGGTGTCTTGAGTATGCTTTGTTGAGCCGTAATTAATTCTTTACCCCACCTAACGCTCTTTGCCTCAGTCCCATGATGCCTCATGTTCATATTCTCTCCCCTCCATTCTTTCATTAGCAGCTGTTCAGTGTATCTTCATCCTGAGCAAATTTTCAACATGTCAGGAATAGTTTGTGGTGCGTGTGGCTTTTATAAGCAGCCTGTGAGTTTTTCATGCTGATAAAGTCTAAGACTCTCTAGTCTATTAGGTTATAAAATCCACCCACATTGATTGTTTCCACGACTATATTTTATTTCCCGGTTTTAGCTTTGGTAAATGTCATTCCTTTGGATTTCCCTGTCAGGCGTTTGTGCGTGCTGCCCGATATTTCCATTCTACCACCACCTGTTGCTAAAGCTTGTTAATTATGCATTTGCCCTGGTACCGTTTTCAATGCCTCAGTCAGTATCTGCCCAACATAGCCTGTTAGACACCTGCCATGGGAAACTAGTTTTTCTTCTTCCGTGATTGCTCCTTTGAAAAAGAAAATTAATCATTTTTCTTTTTTAGAAAGTAATTTGTTCTTTTTTTAGTAGGAGCCAACTCCTAGATTGGTAAATTCTCCATCATGAGAAAAAGCACAGTCGTGATACCTAACTGTTTTCTAGTGTCATCAAGCTTTTCAAGAATTAAAGTTCGTTTTATTCAGGAGTCTGACTGAAGACCACAGATGGAGCTCTACAGCCAGGAGCAGCTCTCTAGAGAAGTTCCATCAGACTGCTCTGAAATAGGGCTTTAGCTGACAGTTCATATATGAAGCGTGGAGGTTTGGTACACGCAAAATCACATCACACATGCTCAGAAGTTACAGTAGAGAACTTCAGGAATCATAAGTTCACAAACCTTCATGTGGAGATTTGGGGGTAAGAGTCCACCTGGTTATAGACGACAGGAGCATCGTCACCAACCCCAGCAGGCGTCATCTCACGTGCAGCAGGAGGCAAGGACTGGATGGTTTATCTTTTAAGGAACATGGTGGCTCGGGCCAGAGGCGAGGGGCTGGGCCCTCTCTCTTGTTTTGTCTTCAAAGTGTTTTTCAGGAGAGCTGCATGCTGTCACAGGGTCAGGGCTGTGTGAGATTCAGCTGCGAGCAGGCAGGAGCACACAGGCTTCTCATGTTTGCCCCTTTGTCTCACGCTAGCACATACTGCCACCATGCTTCCCCCTTCCTTTGATTTTGTTTTAAAACAGCAATGATATGGCAGAGGTGATTTCCAAATTATTTAGTCTCATTGGCTCAGTTTCCCGGACACTTCAGCAAGTGCTGGCTTTCAGGTGGCTTCTGTGGATACACCAGTGTAGCTGGCTTCATACACAACCAAAGTTGAGGCAAAATTCCACAAACAGCTGTGGCCTTTACCTCCTTGCCCCAAGGTTCTGTCACCTTGCTTCTGGCACAGGGCTCAGTCGCTGAGTCTTGAACTGTCAGATTTGGAGTTTTGTCGGCTTCACCTGGGTCGCCAAGCTACAGCATGGTGTAGGTGACAAAGGCTCCGGGGATATGATTAGCAAAGCAGAAAGCCGCCACGTCCACATGGAGGGAGCCCCAGCAGCTCGCTCAGAATGGCTCTGTTTTGAGGATGCAGGTGAGTTAGTAAAAACAAGGAATCTGAAAAAAAGGAACAATGATTGCTCCTAGGTTGTGTCGCTCATTTTATTGCCTTCAGGAATCAATCATAAGCTCACAACCACAGAGTTTCCATCTGGCAGTGGGTGGCCATCCTCAGAATCTGAGCACTCACTCTCTTCCCTGGGCACATCCAAACAGGACATTTCTCAGTGTTGCCTTTCCTGGACCCCAGCTGACTCCCAGGCCCCTGCACAAGGGCCAACATCCATGTCCATCAAAGGCAACTCGTGACCATTGGGTATTTGTCTGTGAATCACTTGCCCCCTTGACCCCTGCCCCTCCATAGCAAGTGGCAGGCTTGCGAGGAGGCCTGCTTCAGTCTCCCTGCGGGCCCGACGAGGGGAGGGCAGAGGGAGGGAGGGGCATCCGTCTGACAAACCTGAGGTCCTGGAGTGCGGGGAACTTTGAGGGATTCACCTGGAGATTACTCCCACAGGGTAATTTTCAGAAAGTTACAAACCTAGACCACTTGCAGATACGGAAGGAGCATCTGATTGATTTCCTCAGCTCTGTAAAGAGGGAACCAGCAGTGGGTGATGCAGCCAGAGGAGAACGGGAGGAAGGAGTGGAAATTCCAGGTCAGCTACGAAGCTGGTTCACAGCCTCTGGAGAGATCTTTCTGCTGCACAGAAATCACTGGCGTCTCCCTTGGACGAAAGCTCCACAGGTTAACGCTAACTTTGGAGTCTGGCCTTTAATCGGTACAAAGATCAAGCCAAACAGAGGCTCATTCCTTAGATAACTCTGTTACTAGCAGGAGTCCTGTAAAGCAATGTTCTAAAATGGTGGTGGAAGCTCTGCTGATCTCCTTCTGCCTTTTTCCAAATTTCAAGCCATTTTTTTTTCTGGACAGAGTCACAGAGAAGAGCAAGAAGGAAGGAACAAGGCCTGGGGGTGAGAGTAAAACGGCCTCCTTCACTGAGGCACAGTGCATCGCCCAGAGCTCACCCTCTGTACATCCCCTGAACCCCTCTGCCCAGCTACCCCACCACTCAGAGGCCCAGAAAGAGTCAGCAGAGGGCACTGCTTGGCTGCCATCCACACTGCCTCACTCTCAGGGGCACCATCTGTCCCCAGGTCTTAGTGAGTTCTGTCCTTGATATTTTTGCAGATTTTACAAATGCATCTAATGGTCTAAGTGTACGAACCACGTAGGAGAAGGAGAGTCCCTCCTAGAACGCACATGGGACATAACTCCCAGGCCTGCCCTCTTTGCCTCCATGTCCACCAGGCCACAGAGGGCAGGCAGTCCTCACGCTCTCCCAGGTCCTGTGTGAGCAGATGGGATTGTTAGGTGGTGAAGGCTCTTACAGGTAGGAACCGGCTGGGCTGGGACAGCACTCACGTCCTCTGAGACCAGGACTGGCTCCGCTGTCTGCACAGCGCCCCGGGCTCCTTCCCGGGTCCGTGGCTCTGAGCTCCGGCTGCTGCTGTCCATCCAGTCCCAAGATGGCCCACCCCTGGCCCGAGCAGGGTCACCCCTTGCACCTTGACATAGTTTGGATGTCTGTGCCCTCCAAATCTCATGTAGAAATTGGATCCTCAGTGTTGGTGGTGGGGCCAGCTGG